ATTCTTTTAATTCTAATTTGTTGAAAAATGAATTAGTACATTAACCACTGGAGAAAATATTTTCTGAAGCAAAGGGCAATCCATAGTAATAGGACAACTCATTTGGCGTTAAATAGAACAGCAACTCATTTGGGAAAAAATTTTAGACTAAATGTATTGGGACATAGAGACTATTTTAAAATTAAACAACTTAAATACACAAAATGATTAAGATAAACTACCAGTTCATTTTTAAATGAAAATTATATATCATTTATACATCTTAATTCAAAAACAACTGGGCTTGAAACAATGCAACTAATTAAAAAAAATAGCAACCATAATTAAAATGTGGTAACTAAGAATATTTAAAATTTTAGCATTTTCAATAGGTAGATCGGCTCATAGTGGCAGGCAAAAGTATGATCCGAAATAAAAGTATAACTTTTAACAACTCTTTTTTTTTTTTTAAATTAGACATTTCTACATCAAGTTAGATGAAAATAAAATAGATATAGCAACCATAACAGAAAACGTGGTGACTATGAATTATATTTAATTTCGAATTTTAAATTAGAGGTTCATTGGAGCCTGCTTGTGCAGACATTTTTTCTTACCCATGGATACATCAAAGAATGTAGAAAAAAGAAATCAAGCTCTTCGAATTCGTATCTAACGTGGTGATTGCTCAGTGAGGTACGCTATACCAGAAAAGCAACTTGAAAGCTCAGCAATGCTCAGATTTAGCAGACCATCATAATTGTACTAAGAGTCAGCGCATGCGCATAAGAAATAAAGTGACGGTCAAGAGATACGACACATATGGAAAGTTCTACGTGTATGGTTTAGTATGCGCTCTCCGCCATTTTAGTCATTTTTAAGGGAAACTCAATGTAAAAATGTTTTAGTATATTTAATCGACATTGATGATATAAAATGTATTCATTGTATGTATTCTCAAAGAAATACCTTAATGCATACCTGCCAACTTTTGATCCCTTCCATTAAGATTTTTCCCAGTGGTAGTAAAATTGAATTAAAATATCAATTATAAGCAAAAATATACGTTGTATTCGAAAAAACTTAAGATGACAACCATGTTAGTAATCCATATTTACATATATGTTTGAAAAAATACTATATGACCGGTTGCTATTTCTATATGACGCCGTAATCCTGATTTCACTTCAGTCTTTCGAAGTGAATTAATCGCAATTGAACAGGGCATCGATGCTATAATTAACGAGAGTGACTTTGGAGATCTTTAGATCCTGTCGGATACTAGAAAGAATTATTTTCCAAATCTTCATAAGTTGGAGGGTATGAAGCAACAACAACAAACAACAACATATATGTTTAATTTTTTAAAGAATAATGGTGATCAAAATAATTTAAAATAAAAGTTTTTAAAAATGAAAAAGTATATATTTACCACCACTTGAAATATAAAAATAAAATTTTACACCAAATGCGTAAAAGTTGGCAGGTATGCTTAATGGTACAACATTGTTAATTAATAGTGTAAAAATACAATGTTTTTTAAAGGTTCAGTGCCACTGCCCGGTCCACATTTGCCCGGCATACCCTACACTGAAGCATTTAAAGGTTCAGTTCCATTGCTTGGTATACATTTGCTTTGTGACTTTGGTTAGAGTGACTTTGGAGATCTTTGGATCCTGTCGGACCATTACTTTGTTCAAAATAAAACTATTTAGTTATTCCTTGATCTAACATTTATCATATATATGTTTAACCTAATAATAATTAAAGTAAAGGCAAAGTAAGTCTGTCAAATTAGCAACGACTACATTTGAGTTACCGTTTTTTATTTAATCACATCCTGATTTTGTACGAATGCTTTTATGAATCAACCGTCCCCAAAGGGTTAAGGAAACATACTTCTTTATTGAGAGATTTATTTATTTGAATTTTGAAAACATGTTAATAATACTTTTAAAATTTTTATGAATGCCTTTTTTTCATAGTTTGTTTCATGTGTTAGAAATCTAGTATTTTGTTTTTAAAAAATGCGATTTCAATTTCCTTAGGATCTTTTTAGGCATGCAAAAGATTAAATAAACGGCGAATCTAAATATAATCGGAGGTTTTGAAACTCATCACAGGTTAAAAATAGTGCTTACTCGCGGAACTCCTCTATCACGGAACCCTAGGGTTCCGCGGAGTACCTTTTGGGAACAGCTCTCTTAACACATTGATCTCCAAAAAGAGATAATTCGGTTAAGCGTCATATCTTTAACGGCTTAATTTTTTAGTTTGGGTAATCCAAATTTACATTTTAATGCAGACAAAAGATAGATAAAATAGATATAAAAAGAATGACATTTATTGAGAGTGAGGGATCACTCAAATTTTTAAAAAAGTGAAAGCTAAAACAAGAAGCTTTTGAATTTTTACGGAAAAGTAAATTTTGATTGCAATTTTTGGTCAAGAAACACATCAACAACTGCTCATAAAGTGTATTTTCATTAAAGACGTATACTTTTTCTCCTTGCTGATTGAAGAATATTATATCCGCCATTGAACAGCCGACCCAATTTTCGGGTTTACGACTGCTAATGTTCAACTCGGTAGCCCTGTAATTTTGAACCTATCCAGAAGACAAGGATCAGTACCCCCAGTGGTATTGATTTGTTATCGGAACATGGAGGACTTTGAGAATCAACAGATTTAACGTGCATCAGTCACCATTTTCTAAACGGGTAGTCTTCAGCCGGTTTGGATCGAACCCACGAACGTGTGAAAACCTCTACGCGGTTTTTTATAGGTAGTCCGATCAGACCACTATGAAAGTAAAACAGTTTACGAAAGAACTTATTAATACAAAATGTAGTAAAAATAAGAGAGTGGTAGCAAATATATGTGTAAAAATTTGTTTAATTTATTAATACTAGGGGGCTATCGCCCCCTGCTCGCTATCACTCGCCAACCCCCGGGTACTGCTGTCGCACTTCCCCTAGGATTGCTTCGCAATCCTATGCTCGCTTCGCTCGCTCGATATACATTTTACAGTCTAGTTGATATTATTAACAAATTTAATTTGTAATGAAAACAAATGGTATTGCAGAAATAGTAATGTATAGCAAGAAAACATTAATGTAAAAATTTGTAATAGTGCTGCTATATGCATTATTTTTGCTCATCCGAAACTTATTTATACACACAATTGTAAATGCTGCGGCTTGGAGCTACTACAGTCACAGATTGAAAAGAACGCACACGGGACAGGGTAACATATAGTTGGCCGTGACTAAAAACTGGCTTAGGCAGCATCAGGCAGATTTTGTCAAAAGTCTGTCCTTGGGATTTACTGATGGTCATGCAAAAAGCTAACCTCAAGGGCAATTGTTTCCGTTTAAATTTAAACGGCATGTTGCTGTCGGAAGGAACCATTGGCGACCGAGGTATAAAAAAAGTCTTGCTGACGGAATCAATGGTTTTAGTTTCTATTATATTTCTTTGAAGGTTTGTGACAATCAGTCTGGTGCCGTTGCACAATCCTTGCAATGGTGACAAGTTTCTCAGGAGCATTACAATGCACCCAATTTTTAGATAAAGTTTATGTGGAGGCATACCTGTAGGGTTTAAAGAGTTTAGAAACTCCTCTGGGTAAGTTAGCTGGTCTTGGGGGTCATCGCTAACTATTTTATCTATTGCTTCATATACAAATTCATCATTAGGCGAGATACTGAGGACTTGATTATTTAGGGTCAGAGATATGTCGATTGTAGCTGTTAAAATAGCTCTGTCTTTTAAGTGTTGAGGTGTAACATTTCTAAAATCGATATCTCCATACAATAGTGCAATGGGATCTTGAAGCTCAGGATAACAGATTTCAGGGAGATTTAAAATGTCCCCATCCTTGCCATCTCCAACATCCAAAAGCCACTTCGAAAACTCTTTTTCTGTATCTAGAGCTCGCATATTTTGTGTGAGAGTCAGTTGTATGAAATTTGACCAAAGATGATGCTTTTTAAGGCAGCTTGCCACAGTCAAGAATTTCGACCCCCCGTAAAATAACAGGTAGGACTTGACGAAAATCCCCACCAAGCAAAATGGCTTTCCCTCCAAATGGTTTTTCACATTGTGTGCTATCACATAGTAATCTACTGACAGCAACAAAGGCATGAGCATGAGTCATTGGGGCTTCATCCCAGATAATCAATTTGGTTTTAAGCAACCTTTCTGCCTCTTAAGTTTTGTGTTGGAAGTGGAAGTAGTATTTAAAATGATAGGAATTTTAAAGACAGAATGTGCGGTTCTGCCACCCCTCAAAAGAGTTACAGCAATGCCTGTTGAAGCAACGGGTGTTGCTATGTCCCCTTTTCCTCGAATAATATGCAAAAGAGTAGTGTAAAGAAGCGTTTTACCAGTTCCTGCAGGTCCATCTGGAAAAAAACATTTAGAGGAATCTTCATCATTACTGTAAACAGCTGATAAGACTGTCTCAAAAACTTCTCTCTGCTCGGTGTTAGTTTTTTTTAAAAATATATTTCTGCATTTTCCTGTTCTTGTAAAGCATCATAGGATGATGGGCCAAACAGTGATAATGAAATTGCAGTAAGTTTCACCTTGTCCAAATTTAAATTGTATGATTGCAGCAATTTATCAATCTCTGATAAAGCATATTGTATGCCAGTACTCCCAGCATATATATGAAGAAAATCTTCAGAAAGAGCATCCTTGTGTGTTTCCTAAAGTTGAGGAATATCTTCAACTTCCCCGAATGCACATATTATGGCAAACAGCATCCGCAACTGATTAGGAGATTGTGCTTCTGCAGCCTCGCTTAATGTCTGGATCCAATGTTCATCTCCTTCCAGAAGTCCTGTCCTCCTACATGCTTCTTGAAAAGAAGTACACAGCATTCCGTCCACAATAAGGATATCTTCAAAACCAACAACTCCTTTGCATCTGAGTAACAACATTCTTAAACAGAATCTTTCACTGTCCTGAACACTAACTACAGGCATTCTTCCAATCACCTGCTGTGATCCTCGCTGGCGCCTCTTCCATTTTGTTCCACTTTTGTCAAAAACGTAGTGATGGGGAATGTCAGAGTAAGTGTAGCTGTGAGCTGCATTATCCGTTTTATTTAATCCAAAAAAAGCTGTCAAGGCTGTACACTTGATAGCAGCTTGTTCAGCTTCTTGCCCACCCATGAACACTATTTGCTGCTGGAGTGGTAAGTGAACTGCCAGACGCATGACTGTATGAGATCTGTCAAGACATATTAAATTCACTTAAACACCAAATTGCTTCAGGGGCACTTACATATCTACCATCTAAAAATGTTGTTATTTCATCATGGTCAAGTCTTCTGCTTTCAGTTGTGAGCCTGATAGCAGCAGCGTCATGACCTTTGTAGACATATTTGTAGAGATACTTAACGCTTTTGACAGAAGCACATACTTCCACATTAATGTCTGCATTGAATTTCTTAGAAAGCCAGGGATTGTATGGGACAATCCATCTGTTTTCTATTTCATATTTTCCCACTTTAACAGGCTCTTTTTGTCTACGCTGATATACAGGGTATCCGTTAACATTTTCTTCAGTACATTCATTGAATTCCTTAGGAAATTTTTTTGAACACTCCCCATCTCTCATGCACGGGGAATTAGGATTCAAATGGCCACATGGCCCATGGATCATGCATTTTGTTATGATATCATACAGGCGTTGTTCAATATTAGGATTTGGCAATTCAGCGCAAACAAATTTGTCAATATCATCTTTTGTACGGATTTTCGATCTATCATCTAATATCGAAAATGTATGAGCATGTGGTAAGCCCCGTTTCTGGAACTCTATCACATATATATAAGCTAGAACAGCACCAAACAGGTTTCGTTTTAAAATGTCATCTAAAAGTTCAGATAACTTCATTTTAAACACACGGACAACAACATCTGGTCTATCTTCTGACCTTTCCCCTACAGCATCACTTATTTCTGACCACTTGGGGTTGCACGTAAATGTGAGAAATAGGTAAGGTCTACCAAACGTTGTCCTCGGCGGAAAAGAAATTTGGGAGCCACGTAAGAGAATTATATATATTAGCTCAGAAACACATGATTAAAATAAATTTGAATTCAAATAAATGACATGCGATTCGTTAAATCTAGAGCCCCTGAATTAGACAGGCCAACTTATCATATATTTTTGGAGCAAAGAGCTAACATAATTAATACTAACATAACGTTAACTTGCAAACTTGTTTGCTCCAATATTGCTTGATAGGTCAGCTCTGATAGTATAGGAGCCTTAGTTAAACCTATTAGAAATGTGCTATATGTATACAATTACTTGTTAATATATGTGTTATAATACTCTTCTTAAATCCATCCTTAATTCTTAACCAGAAGCACATCATTAGAAGGCAGAATGCTTTGGTGCTTTCAAAACGTAAACAAAACACAGCAAACGTTGCCACCGGCGGAAAAGAAATGCAGCCAAAATTTGGGAGCCACGTAAGAGAATTATATATAATAGATAATTGGTTTGTCTTATTCACTTGTCTACCACTACAGATTCAATTCTCAAATATATATGATACATTTCTCTCAGTCAACGTTAGAATAGAATATGCTTTCCATGCGCACAACTGGTTCACTTTTTTAAATCCTACATCAGAAAGCCTCCACACGGTTTTTTATAAGTAGTTTGCGCAGACTATTTAAAAAGTGAACCAATTGTGCGCTTGAACCCAAATTCTATTTTGAAAATAATTGCGAGAGAAATTTGTCATATATATTTGAGAATTGAATATGTGGTGGTTGACAAGTAAGTAAAACAAATCCTTCATATTCATAAATTTAAAAAAATTTTAGGCATATATTTGCCACCACTTTACTTAATTTTCTATGAAATGGCTCTTTTATAAAATGGTTAAACTCCATAGTAATCTGATCAAAATATCTATAAATATCGTGAGATAGCTTTCAGTAACAGGAAACGTTGAATGACTACGCTTACTTTTTAAAGGTATTACATACCTGCCAACTCTTCCGGATTTACCGGAAGATTTTATTTTCATATTTAAAGTGGTAGTAAATATATACTTTTTTTTCTTTTATAAACTTAATTTTCAAATGATTTTGATCACCACTATTCTTACAAAAATTAAGCACATATATTAATATGCNAATGCTGGAATGAAATGTTTTACATACCAGGTTTTTCTCTTTTCCGTCTTGCTATATAAGGGCTTTCACCCATAGTAACAGGAGACGTTGAATGACTACGCTTACTTTTTAAAAGTATCAGCATGAGATAACTGCGGAAACTTAGAAGTGGTGCGACGGAGTTCCTGGCCTATATGGCTACTCTCCGTAAATTATAGATTAAATACTGAATCTAAGGCCTATGTTATTTAAAAGTCTTTGAAATTGTTTAATTAGTTGTTAATAATTAATTAGAATGATGAAAAAAGAAACGAAAGAAAAGATAACTCAAGAAGGGGACAGCACAAACATGTAATAGCAAAAACAAACAACTGGTACATGAGAGGGTAAGGGAATTAATAAATTTTTTTTTCTCCTTTTTATAATTTATTTAAAAATTTAATAATAAGTTTAATAAAGTTGCATTTCATATGATGCTTTGAATTTCTGATCTGTAGTGGAGGAAAAGTTACTCAAAATGAAAAATACTAACTTAAAAATATCTTAAATTTCGTTACCATTGGGAAACACCTCTTTACATAGCGGAGCAAGTTGGTGTCCTTTTCGTTGGAATAATTTATTGGGATTGCATACATTCTCAGGCTTGTGTGCTCAATTTAGACCTAAAACCTTTGTCAAATAGAAGGACAGGTAGCAAAATGCAGAGAAGGACAGCGTGAATCGAACCCGCTACCTCCACGCTCTGCACAGCGTTTGGAGGGCGATATACCGCTCCATCAGGGAGGCCCCAGTTGGCAACTCAAAATTTGGTGAGCATTTAGAAGCAAAGAGTTTTAGATTTCTAGTGATTTGTAGCAACATTTTTGGGTAAAATGTCGTCAGACTGGAAACACTGCGCTAAAAGGGTTAAATGTCAATGGTGCGTGACTGTCTCACTCTCAGCTCTAAGAGCTTTCCGCAGCCCTAAAAGTAATCAAAACGCAAATTGCTTTAAAACTTGTTTATTTTACTTTAAAAAATAATAATTAATTTCAATCAATAACAATACTTACTAATTTAACAATAGAGGAATGCAAATATTCCTGAAAGACGAGCTATCCGCCGTGATGAAAGAGATAAGAATAAATTTATTGATGTATATATATATATANGAAAAGAGTTTCTGAAATATTTTCGTGCTTTTCAGATTTGATACATGTAAACTTTCTGCCCTGCCAACGCCTCCTATAATTGAAAGCCCCCACACGGTTTTTTATAGGTAGTCCGATCAGACCACTGTGAAGGATATCCACTTTCCGAACGAGTCATTTAATACAAAATCTAATTAAAATAAGAAATTGGTAGCAAATATATGACTAAAAATTTGTTTTATTTGTGAATATTATTGGTTTGCCTTATTCACTTGTCAACCACTACAGATTAAATTCTCAAATATATACGATGAATTTCTCTCAATTACTTTTATAAAAGGTTTTGGGTTCCTGCGCACAACTGGTTCATTTTTTAAATAGTCTGCGCGGACTACTTATAAAAGACCGTGTGGAGGCTTTTTGATGTAGGAGGTGATGGTTCAACCGAGTGGTTACTAAATGTAGGACCGCGAATTTTTTTGTGATCCGCGAACTAAAATAAAATAGTTGTCATTTTTTACGGACAATTTTCGTAAAAATTTATATTGGTTCAAAATACTTTTCTCGTTAAAAAAAAACCCTAATTTCTTCGTTTCCGTGAAATTTAACATACCAACGGTGGAAAAAAAATTTTTTCTCAGGTTTTGCATCCAGGAAAATATTTATTCAAATACAAAAATAATCAAGTAATCGTGTATTTTTTTCTTTTTTTATTTATTTATTTATTTATTTATTTTTTTGTGAATATAATTTAGCATGTGCGTAATCAGAAATTTTCTTGAAACAATTCTCCGACTTAACTTTTTGAAACCACTCATTTTGGACGAAATTATTTACATCTGTAAATTTTAAATTTGAAATGTAAATATCTATTCTCTGGTGGTTGAAGCGAACTAACCTCAATTCTCTCATTGAACATTTTGTGTGCTACTATGTAAGTTTTGATACCAACCTTTTTAAAGTTTTTTATCTTAACTATTAGAGATCTGTTGTACATTAATTGTTTAATACATAGGTGCACATTAAAGCTATTGTAGCCGGAATTTTTTAATATACAATTAAATATTTAAAAAAATCTACTTCTTATTTTAGTTTGTAATTTAATACTTTTGTTTTGTACAACTTCCTAAGACTCTGACAGTAATATTTAATGCTCCTTCAAACATAAAAAAGTAATATATAAAATTTTGATAAAGTTGACTGGTGTTTTTAATTGTGGCTTTCGGCCTTATGTAAGTTGGAAACCCCTGATAGCTGCAAATTTTCTCGGCTTTTTGTAAAAAATATTTTCGAGTGGTAGATAAGTTAATATTTTAATGCATTATTTTTTATTCATTTAAACATGTTTTCCATACCTCTAGAAATAAATGATTTAACAGTTCATATGCAACGCCTTTTCGTTCCTGCTACTTCGAGGTGAGAGTTTTAAAATGTTGGAAAATTATCAAATAAAACAAAAATTCAGAAAGCTTTGTGTTTTAAATGTCTACTACTCTGTAAAATATTTTACAAAAACCTTAGTTGTTGGCAGACCTGGTTTACTGATACAGAATCACAAAGACACTTAGCCTTTTTTCGTAGTATAACCTAGTACAAAAAAATCCTCGACTTATAATTCATGCTAACTCTAAGCTTGAAAACAGACTCTTCTTTGAGAAATGGATGACTTATAGTTTCTTTTCTGAGAGAACACACGTTGAATCTTTTGAAATATTACATTATACGTATCTGGTCTACGATATCTACATCGTTAAATTATTAAAATGTCGTGCTAGTTGAAATTATTTTTTCATTAAATGTTAAAGATTCAATTTTTTATTACTTTAAATATTAGGAAATAATTTCCGATAAACTTGTTAACTGTATGAGCTATATGAACTTGTTAACTGTATTAGTGCTGTATTAGCTGGTTTAATTATAAGAGTGATTATAATTAACTTAATTATTCAT